GTACTTACGTACTTTAAATCTGCACATTTTGTTGTTTGGAATGTAAGTTTTTCACATTTTTGGTTAGGTTTGTTAAGTTTAAACATTCAGATTCATTAATATATTTTGTATATAATTTAAATTCTTTTTAAAATAATTCAACTATTTAATTGCATCGACATACATATAAATAAAATGCATCTAACACAGATAAAGATAAAGAGTAATTACGTAATTTAAAAATGAATATTTTGTTGTTTAAAATCTAAGTTTAAAGTTTCCCACATTTTTGGTTATGTTTGTTTTCAAATATTCAGATTCGTTAATCTATCTTATACATAATTTAAATTCTTCTTTAAAATAATTAACTTATTTAATTGCACCGATATATATGCAAGTAAAATGGATCTAACACTGATATAAAATATTTATGTAATTTAGAAATGGACATTTTGTTGTTTAAAATGTAAGTTTAAAATTTCCCACATTTTTGGTTATGTTCGTTTTCAAATACTCAAATTCATTAATATATGTTACACATAATTTAAATTCTTCTTTAAAATAATTCAACTATTTAATTGTATCAATATATATATACATACAAAAGTTTTATTTTTCGCGAAATAAATCCCTCATAGATATAAAGTATTTACGTAATTTAAAAATGAAGATTGAGAAGAAAATCGTGAGGCAAAAAGTTAATCGCGCAGAAATGTATTTTTTATCTTTGAAACGAAATATATGGCTGTGAATATTTGTATATGCAATTTAAACGACTGGTTTGTTGCATTTTTGAATTATTTTTACATTCATCTGTTATTCATATCTCTTACTCGAAAAGAATAAGATTAAAATTTTTTTAGATACCGCACACACCTTGAAAACACTCGCGTTTCCAAAGAAAAAAAACTTTCATGTGACCAAAGACAGTTGTGTTTTCCAGCTTTGAATAGCTTTCAATATAAAGAAATATACAGACTAATGAAGTGAACGCGACTCTGTGGAGAACGCCTATATAAAAAATCCATTTAATTATTGAAGCATCGATCACCGACGAGGATTCCAAAAAATAAATTCTACAGAAGTACGAAAGACAAAGATGACCAAAGGAAATTTATAGATTTAATCTGTAAAACATAGTGTACATATGTACGTATTTAATGCAACAAAGCACGCAAAACCACAGACAGTGTCTAATTTAATAATAGTACATCTCGTGGCGTAGCTAGAGTAAGCAACATGGCGGCATGTTCGGTGCGTTACTTCGATGTTGTTTGCAATTGATGCATCGTCCCTTCGAAGGCACGCCTCGAATCGATCGACGAAATTCGACGAACGACGACGACGACGCAAATCATTTATCGTATTAGTCTCAAATGTCGCTTCGTGCTCGAAGAAATAGACGGACAAGCGTGAAAACTCGAACTGGTCGTAGAATCGTCATTCATGATTGAGCACGCCAGTGTCGACTAGCGTCGAACTGGACCGAAACGACTTGTCTCGCTAGTAGACCGGAGTTTTGTATGAGAAGAGTCAAGTCGGTGTTCGCACATTGCGCGAGAAAACCAAAGGGTAACATGGTGAAAGGTAGGAATGCAATTCGAGAAAATTCGTCCACACTTTCACTGAACATTTCCTTTCGATAATCAGGTTATGTTTTG